CTAGGCTATAGTCTAGTCTATAGTCCAGTCTATAGCCTAGTCTATAGTCTAGTCTTTAGTCTAGTCTATAGTCTAGTCTATAGTCGAGTCTATAGTCGAGTCTATAGTCGAGTCTATAGTCGAGTCTATAGTCGAGTCTATAGTCTAGTCTATAGTCTAGTCTATAGTCGAGTCTATAGTCTAGTCTATAGTCTAGTCTATAGTCTAGTCTATAGTCTAGTCTATAGTCTAGTCTATAGTCTAGTCTATAGTCTAGTCTATAGTCTAGTCTATAGTCTAGTCTATAGTCTAGTCTATAGTCTAGTCTATAGTCTAGTCTATAATCTAGTCTATAATCTAGTCTATAATCTAGTCTATAGTCTAGTGTATAGTCTAGTCTATAATCTAGTCTATAGTCTAGTCTGGTCTAGTCTAGTCTATAGTCTAGTCTATAGTCTAGTCTATAGTCTAGTCTATAGTCTAGTCTATAGTCTAGTCTATAGTCTAGTCTATAGTCTAGTCTATAGTCTAGTCTATAGTCTAGTCTATAGTCTAGTCTATAGACTAGTCTATAGTCTAGTCTATAGTCTAGTCTATAGTCTAGTCTATAGTCTAGTCTATAGTCTAGTCTATAGTCTAGTCTATAGTCTAGTCTATAGTCTAGTCTATAGTCTAGTCTATAGTCTAGTCTATAGTCTAATCTATAGTCTAGTCTATAGTCTATAGTCTAGTCTATAGTCTAGTCTAGTCTATAGTCTAGTCTATAGTCTAGTCTATAGTCTAGTCTATAGTCTAGTCTATAGTCTAGTCTATAGTCTAGTCTATAGTCTAGTCTATAGTCTAGTCTATAGTCTAGTTTATAGTCTAGTCTATAGTCTAGTCTATAGTCTAGTTATAGTCTAGTCTATAGTCTAGTCTATAATCTAGTCTATAGTCTAGTGTATAGTCTAGTCTATAATCTAGTCTATAGTCTAGTCTATAGTCTAGTCTATAGTCTAGTCTATAGTCTAGTCTATAGTCTAGTCTATAGTCTAGTCTATTAGTCTAGTCTATAGTCTAGTCTGTAGTCTAGGCTATAGTCTAGTCTTTAGTCCAGTCTATAGTCTAGTCTATAGTCATGTCTATAGTCTAGTCTATAGTCTAGTCTATAGTCTAGTCTGTAGTCTAGGCTATAGTCTAGTCTTTAGTCCAGTCTATAGTCTAGTCTATAGTCTAGTCTATAGTCTAGTCTATAGTCTAGCCTATAGTCTAGTCTATAGTCTAGTCTATAGTCTAGTCTATAGTCTAGCCTATAGTCTAGTCTATAGTCTAGTCTATAGTCTAGTCTATAGTCTAGTCTATAGTCTAGTCTATAGTATAGTCTAGTCTATAGTCTAGTCTATAGTCTAGTCTATAATCTAGTCTATAGTCTAGTCTATAGTCTAGTCTATAATCTAGTCTATAGTCTAGTCTATAGTCTAGTCTATAGTCTAGTCTATAGTCTAGTCTATAGTCTAGTCTATAGTCTAGTCTATAGTCTAGTCTATAGTCTAGTCTAAGTCTAGTCTATAGTTTAGTCTATAGTCTAGTCTATAGTCTAGTCTAAAGTCTACTCTATAGTCTAGTCTATAGTCTAGTCTATAGTCTAGTCTATACTTTAGTCTATAGTCTAGTCTAGTCTAGTCTATAGTCTAGTCTAAAGTCTACTCTATAGTCTAGTCTATAGTCTAGTCTATAGTCTAGTCTATAGTCTAGTCTATAGTCTAGTCTATAGTCTAGTCTATAGTCTAGTCTATAGTCTAGTCTATAGTCTAGTCTATAGTCTAGTCTATAGTCTAGTCTATAGTCTAGTCTATAGTCTAGTCTATAGTCTAGTCTATAGTCTAGTCAATAGTCTAGTCTATAGTCTAGTCTATAGTTTAGTCTATAGTCTAGTCTATAGTCTAGTATATAGTCTAGCCTATAGTCTAGTCTATAGTCTGGTCTATAGTCTAGTCTAAAGTCTAGTCTAAAGTCTATTCTATAGTCTAGTCTATAGTCTAGTCTATAGTCTAGTCTATAGTCTAGTCTAGTCTATAGTCTAGTCTATAGTCTAGTCTATAGTCTAGTCTATAGTCTAGTCTATAGTCTAGTCTATAGTCTAGTCTATAGTCTAGTCTGTAGTCTAGTCTAGTCTATAGTCTAGTCTATAGTATAGTCTATAGTCTAGTCTATAGTCTAGTCTATAGTATAGTCTATAGTCTAGTCTATAGTCTAGTTTATAGTCTAGTCTATAGTCTAGTCTATAGTCTAGTTTATAGTGTAGTCTATAGTCAGATTATCTATTTTTATTAGGAAATATGTACATGCATTAGGGATATAACTAATTTGGCGAAATTTTTGGCTTACCACCTCATGATTGTCAATGTTGTGTAAGTAGTGAAAAAAAATTGTCTAATATAAACCAAATTTTATGTTCTAGATTTTATTTTTTTTTTATTTTACATACAGGTTTTCCTACCGACATGATGTGTCAAAAGCAGACTTTTCGGTGGAAATGTCTATATACGTACATTAGGGTGATGACATTTTATGTTTTTACACCCCATAATCAAAAATCCATAGAAAATAAGAAGAAAGACAACACTCCCGCTCCAAACGAGTTGAAATTTTTTGATCGTATTTGTTTTGATCATATCTTTGATACTTATAGATCAAATTTACTGCTTTTACACAGGGTCATTTTTAAGAGTATTTGGATTCCGAAGATATATGGGGCCATCAAAAACCCGATTTTAATAAACAGACGGACAGACATTTGGTCGTGAACTTTTTTTAATAATCGCGAAAAAATAATACCGTGTTTTTTCATATTTTTACAAAATACGTCAATAGTTATCATATAGTTACAGAAATCTTTCCCGCCTTTACACTGAGCGGATTAGGATTATTTAGAAAATATTATGATGTGTAATAAAGAATAATTAAACAGTTAATTGGACATACAGACTAGATATTTATCTTCCTCAGATTGTTATAAGATAATTTGATTAAAAAAGTTTGAAGGTATTGTAAAATAAACGGTATTTACTTTATGTTAATTACAAACAAAAATGTTTACATATGCATATTAAAATTATGTGTATATGACATATTGGTTAAATGTAAAATATTTTTGTATTTTTTATTGAACATAACAAATTATGTTGCTAAATAAACATAATCATTTATTTAAAAAGGTTTTGATGTAATAGACAATTATAACAAAATTATTAAATCTGTTTCCTGTTGGCATGACTAAAATATTTAAAGAAAATTGTTAATTAAATACCACAAAAATCAATAACTATTTTAAAATAATTGTTGTTGTTTTTAATACATAAACTAAATGTATAATTTGTGTATTTAAATTTTTTAAACTTTTCATTAAATATGTTTATGTATTTTCGTATGAATATATTTATTTATTTATATATTATATGTCAAACTTGAAATTTCTAAATTAAAAATTATATGCTTATTTGTGAGTATTTTTGTAAATTACATACAATACCCGTATGTATGTACGTGTAAAAATGTTTGTACATTTAAAATACTAAACCATGTGTTCATTAGAAAATTTTGACATAAGACATTTCAAACAATCGGAGGTTAGGAATCAACCTTTAATACAAAATACAATTTCGTTGAATTTAAACTTTTAAATATTTGGTAATTCTGTACTGCAGAAAACAAATATGTATAAATATTTACAACAACAATGCAGTCAGTCAGTCGGTCTTTTCTTTTCTTTGGATGGGAAGTAATTAACATTGTATACTACACTACATACAAAACAGCAGCAATTCCTTTTAAACAAAAATAAAAAAGAACTTAGTTTTTATTTTTGTTTTGTACTCTCAACGTTGATCCGTCCTTGACCTAATTCCGTTATATACAAATGGCTTGAATACAACTACAAACGCAATGTCTATAATATACATATACTAGAATATGTATTAAGCTTTTTTCTCTCAATGATATACAATCGTATAGACGCAAATACATACGTAAGTGCTTCTACATACAGGAATATATAGCTATGTTTTGGTTATGTGTCATCTTATAAATATTTGTCTTCCTTTTTTTTAATTTTATACACATGCCAAAAATACCTAAAATGTGTCCCCAGAGCCCAACCTATATCAGCACTCCTACACACATTAAACTCAACCTTAGTGTAAGAAAACAACTTGTATAAAGCATTATTAAATATTTTTTTACGTTTAATGAGCAGCAAAATTTCCAAAATCCTTCCTTCAGATGACTCATCATCATCATCGTTTCCATTGAGATGCGTTAGAGCAAAAATATTTGTATAACTGTGTGTTGTTTGCTTTTCATTTTCTTTTCCTCATGCATACGCTTGGTTTTATTTTTTTTTTTTTTTCGTTAAGTCGGAGGTTCTCAACTAAATATTGTCAATGAAAATAATTTTTGAAGAAGTTTTTAAGTTGAAATTTTTACTATTCTGCTGAATTTCAAAATCAAAGCTTTTTTTATATTTACATTACAAGGATACTTGTGTGCTTTGCAAATCGTATTTAAACATACAGACGGACATCAGTATAGAAAACTTTATTTTCTTTAAAAATTAGATCTTTGACTTCTTATATTATTTAGTTATTTTCAAAACAAAGTTACTCCCATATACAGCAGTTAAGGAAACACTGTTTTGTTGTGTACTTTTAAAACAGGGGTGGATTTACACTAACCACAAAATGAAATTTTTCTAAAAAGCGACCAACGTTTTATAAATTGAGTAACAAAAAGAAAATTTTTGCTCCCAATGCTTAAGCAAGCAAGCAGGCAGTCAGACAGGGTGGATATGAATAGAAATGATCACCATAATGACAAAAACACTGCCGCTAATATTAGAGAGCAATTTAACAATGTGTTTGTTGTACTGTGCAAACTGGAAAATTATAACTCGCCATTAATAAAAAATAACAAAAAAAAAAAAAAAAAAAAACATACTCACACGCGACCCGCCACTGTCTGCTTTTGCTGTTTGTATCATTCGGTTCGAGTCTGTTTTGTTTGGGCCTCTATGCCAAGCGAATATATTACCACACATCAGTTTCTATTTATGTCAAGTCCAGCGCGGTTGTTTTGCACCAGAACTTAAAATTGCTTTAGTTTACGAATACTAAATAAAAAATATATATTAAATAATAAATATTGTGCAAAAAAAAAACTAAAAACAGAATACAAAAACAAACCTCTAGCGAAAGGAATTTAAATTGTGAAATTAAAAACAAAAATAATAAAATTTAAAAAAAATGCATTTGAATAACATCACTAAGGGAATTTTGCCGTTAATATTTATTGTTGGATTATTTAAAATAACAGGTATTTGAAAAGAATACATTGCATACAAATTAACAATTAATGAAATAAGAATTTGTTATTAACAACAACAAAAAAAAAAAAAAAAATGTTTTAATATTAAATATGGAAAATAGTTAACTCTTAAATGAAAAACCAAAAAGGGGTGTTTTACTTTTATAAATATGTATGAATGTATGTGTGTGTATCACCACATTTATACCAACATTTCATATACATATGTATATATGATTTTTTCCTTTTAAACACTGTTGATTTAAAACAATAACAATTTGCCAAGGAAAAATCAATATTTTAAATATTGAAAAGTTTTTAAAAGATGGATACAAATCTACTCTATGTATACATACACATTCATACATACATATTTTTAAAGTACATTCTATACATAAAGTTTTTTATACACATAAATACATATGTATATATGTATGTATTTTTTACATATTTATGTTCGTATGTATAAATGTCGTTTTAACTTATTGTTATTTTCAAAAAAATTAATAGAAAAAAAGACACTCCTATAAAAATCTTGGAATGAATTAATGTAATTAATTAAAATTATAAATATTCTAATAAAATATGATATGTTGAACGTGACCAAATGTATTTTGCTACATTCAACTCTTAAACGAAATGGTTGATTTCAACTCGAATCGATTTGACTTGAATACGTTTTTCATGACAGGAATTTTGTTCTTTTTTGAAAACACAACTTAACCCAGCGTTAATATAAACAGCAACAAAAATACAATACTTTCAATTAACAACAATTAGTAAATATGTTTTTTTATTTAACAACTTTATGGAGCTACTTGTGTAGAGTTATTATGGGTTGGTAGGGTTTGGTATTCATGAACATTTTATAAAACTTTTCTTTACATACAAACCAACATACATACATTTGTATATTTACAACAACAATAATATTTTAACTCTGACATCATCGTTATTGTGTGGTAAAACAGACAAAAATACATACTACATATAATAATTTTTGTTGTATGTCTTTAGTCTAATGCATATAGTATGGACATACATATATATAGATTTATATCTACATACATATATATATTTCTAAATATCTATATACATTTGTCTTGTATTATGATTTTTTTTTAGTTTTTGTACATTTAGAAGCATGACGAAGGCAGTAAAATGAACATTTGAAAAACATTTTCGTACATTTGAATTTAAATACAACATGTGCAGATATACACGCATAGATACATTTTGTATTGTATCCATGTATGTGTTTATGCATAAAATTACGCTAAATCCAACCGATGGCTAAAATGGGAGGGAATAGTTCTGGGCTTAAGATTTGTATATCTAATATATGGCCAATATACAGTAGTATACCTATATTTTCTATAACAACAGAGGAGTTTAAATCCTCAACTTTATATTAAAAATTCTTATATCAATATCAAACTATGAAAAAACTATATATTACTCATATTTAACACACCAAAAATAATAAAACAATAATTTTCAATATTGTGCTAAATTTCGTAAAAAAAAAGAAACTTAATGAAATGTATCAACCACACCACTCCTCTTATTTTTCCCCATTAACTTTAAAATAAAATACGTATACGCCTGTGTAATTGTTTTTTGTACACGAATACTTAAACAAATGTATATAAATATCATATTTATATGAATTCTAAATGTATATTTTCATATACATATGTATGTATGTACGTATGTATTTGTGAATTGCACGATTTTCCGCATCATAATAAATAATAATCGGTATTTGTGTATATGACATGCTACGCATGCAAGAGTATTTAAAATTTGTTTAAATCGCTTGTATTACTTTAAAACATATTGATACCATAAAGTTTTGAAACCCAATTCTATACTTCGATACTGGAAGTGTTGAAAGTAAAATTGCATAAATTTGATATAATGAAAATACGAATCAAAAATAGTATTTCGGTTTTTTTAAGCCCAGTTTTGAACGTTAAAGTCATTTTCTGAAGAAAATCGATACGGAAATTTTATCTCCCTTGCTTCTCCTTATGCAAGTTCCCAGAATACTATACTTTCATCTTTTTTAATGGTTGATAAAAAAATGGTTTTATAAGAAATTGCAAATTATAAACATTATTTATTGCATTTTTAAAATCCAATAGAACACACAAAATTCAAAATGGTTTAGCAATATGTATTTCAATATAGCAAAATAAAAGTAGGAAAAAGAAAAGATAGAATAGAAAAATTGCGAAAGAAATTTGAAAAGAAGAAAGGAAACAAGTTTCCCACCAAGTCTAGAAAAGAAATACTTTTAAGGTTTTAAAGTACTAAACTAATGTTGCACTAGACAAGATTCTAGATAGAATAGACTATAGACTCGACTATAGACTACAATATAGGCAAGACAAAAGACTACAATATATACTAGACTATATTCTAGACTATAGGCTAGACTATAGACTAGAGTATAGACTAGACTATAGACTAAACTATAGACTAGACTATAGACTAGACTATAGACTAGACTATAGACTAGACTATAGACTAGACTATAGACTAGACTATAGACTAGACTATAGACTAGACTATAGACTAGACTATAGACTAGACTATAGACTAGACTATAGACTAGACTATACTAGACTATAGATTAGACTAGACTATAGATTAGACTAGACTATAGATTAGACTAGACTATAGACTAGACTGTAGACTAGACTATAGACTAGACTAGACTATAGACTAGACTATAGACTAGACTATAGACTAGACTATAGACTAGACTATAGACTAGACTAGACTAGACTATAGACTAGACTATAGACTAGACTATAGACTAGACTATAGACTAGACTATAGACTAGACTATAGACTAGACTATAGACTAGACTATAGACCAGACTATAGACTAGACTACACTAGACTATATACTAGACCATAAATAGACTATAGAGTGGACTACAGACTAGACTATAGACTAGACAATAGACTAGACTTTAGACCAGACGAGACTATAAACTAGACTACAGACCGACTACTATGTGGAAAACTTATCAGAAGTTTATATTTTAGAAAATGTACCGAATATTTTACTGGCAGCAACATTAACGCAAGAGTTGTGAAGTTGTGGCTATAGTAAAGATTTCTTTAAAATGATAATACTTGCATGAAAACCTGAATCTAAAAGACCCTCAAAGCAAGCCCCTGGTATCTCACATATCTTCAATAAAACGGTTGAATTATATTAATAATTTTGTATTGGTTCTAATGAATTTGTTTTAAAAATACTACTGCCAGCCTAATACCCAACAAAAAACATTTGTTTTATTGATGTTATATTAATTGAATAATATTCCTTCTTTTGCTATAGAGACGCAGAAAAACCAATTAAAACACAACACATTTTTTACTAATAAAAACGTTTTTTTTTCTTAATTGAAGGGTGTACAAAAATTCGTTAAATTCAAATTCAGTACAGTAAATCCTAACAAATTGTACAATAAATAGTATATAGCTTCTAAATAATAATTTTGATTTTAGAAACTGCACAAACTGAGTACGCACTGTATTTTAAATTGTTTGTTTTTGTTTTATTTATACTTATTTACACATGCATATTTATGTGATCTGTAGGCTTTTATATGTTTATATATGTACATCATACAATAATGTGCCAAATATAAGCCACAAAATTAGGGTGATTCGAAAAGTTATTTAAGTATAAATAAAATATTAAAAACTTATAAGTAAAAAATACAGAAGTGAAGTATTTTTTAAGCAATTAAATTTAAATAATATTTCGTGTTATAAGGTGTTATTTGCTTAACATAAATACACTCACACTGTTGTTAATATTTCAATGTATAGTTTAATTGCTCAAATTTTTAATATTTATTTTCATTTATTTTAGGAATTGAAGCTGATGGAAATCAAAAGGGATCTGGTGATAGCAAACAAGCATTTGATGCATACGATTATAGTGATGAAAGTGAAACATCCAATGGTGAAATACCAACACCCAAGTCTACAATTACACCCTATTTTGAGAATAGTCTAATCACTGTTTATGCAACAAAAGATGTTGAAAATGTCACCTTAGAATGTTTACCTAAAAATTTTAAAGGTAAATTCTTTAATACTTTATCAACTTTGTTACTAAATATAAATTTTTAAATATATTTTTAAAGATTCTGTTCATCAAATCTTATGGTATAATGAAGAACATCCCATAACAAATGGCAACACCTCATTGGCGGTTGATAAATATTCAGTCGATAACAAATATCGTCTGACTATACTCAATTATAAGAAAGACACCGCTGGAAATTTCTCATGTGCTGTTTTACCCACTGAAGCCCGCCAATATGTACAAATTGAATTTGGTGCTCCTCCAGAAAATATTAAAGATCAGAATGGTGCTTCCAACACACTTATTATTGAAATGGGATTAATGCTTACATCTTTAGTCGCAATAGTTTCAGTAAATTATTTCAAATTTTAAATTAGTAACATATAGTACTTAGAACAAATAGAAACAGAAAAAAATGAATGATAAATGAAAATTGCGCGCATTAATGAGGCTGAAACTTTTCTAATTTCAAATAATGCAAATGTATGTACTTATATAATGCCTGGATTATAGAAAAAATATTGAAAAAAAAAAACAAGAAATCAAAAGCTTCGCTCCATTATTAAAAACAATAGCAAACCAAAAAAAAGTCCTTTTAAATGCGATAATCTAGATCAAACTAATAAAAAATAAAATATTTTTAGACATTTTCAATAATATTTTTAACAGTGAATACAAATATGTATTTACATACATATTTTGTTATGAATGTAATGCTTACCATGGAATATATGTATAAACGAAAGTGTTATCTGTTAAAATACTTATAAAGCATAATAACTTTGGTAAACATTCATGCATAATTACAATTTCGCACATAAATTATTTGCATTTACTCAACAAAAATGTTTGTTTATGTCTGGCGAAACATTAAAATCTTCCCCCTCAAGATCATAATAAATTTTTGTATTGAATGACTTTTTATAGAAAGCTAGCATTATGATCAGGTTATTGAAGAAAAATTACATACATACGTATACTTATATAAACTTATCAGTGTTGCTAGTTTAGATATTTTGTTATTCGAACTCGCATTTCTAAATAAATTTATAACAAAATGCAAAAAAAAAAAAACAAATTCTCCATAGCTTAAGTGGCGTTCGATATTTTGTTAATCGAACTTGCATTTCTAAATAAATTTATAACAAAATGCAGAAAAAACAAATTCTCCATAGCTTAAGTGGCATTCGGAATGAAAAATTACATTTTAACACTGATAACTTACATATGTATGTAATAAATTTCTTATGTATTTATTGTGTATAAGTATATTTACTAGTTTTTTTACTACTACTACTTATTATTAAATGTATATTTTTATGTAAATTTAATTAGAAAATATTATAAATAGATTCTTTTGTTTTTGCAAATTGTTTTGTATTCCATTACATTGCAAATTGTATGCCAAAGATGATTTCGAGTGCCTCCATATGTATTTTTATTAACAATTGTTTAATTAATTAATTAATTATTATTTTTTTATATATATTTTTAAAATATGTTTGTATGTATTTATGTATCATATCTAAGTTAAATAAGTTACATTTTTATGTACCCTACAACACTACCATACATGCTAATGCTCCTTTTTGCGCTAATATCTATCATTGCTTGTTTTAAAATCATGCAGGCAAAGTGAATACGATTAAACGCTTTAATCGACTTGAATATTTAGTATTAGTTGTATGGTATTATTTAGTCTGGTCTGACCGACTGACTGTATGCTCGCTTATAAATAAATTTCAAAAAAAGAAACGTATATTAATTTGAAATAAAAAACGAAAAACAAATAGTTTAAAATGTGAAATTTTAGAAAATTAAAAAGCAAATACAAAACAAAAAAAGAACAAAGTGCAAATCACCCCAGTGTTATTTTAGTGCCTGCATTTCAGCGTTATGTTTGAATAATTATTATTATTGTACCTTAACAAAATAAATATAAAGAAAATACATACTACTTACTACATATACATATACAAAAAGAAATATAAGAATATATGGTTTAAGGTCACGAATAAATGAATGTATGTATGTATTAAAATGTAATAATATATGTACATTAAGTATGTGTTTGTTTGTACAAGAAGTATATTTACATATGTATGTATGTTTGAAATTAAATACCAATTTTAAATCTTTGTTGTATAGTTATCTTCCGTAAGACTACAAAATATATTAAATTAGATGATTCTCCAAAGATTGAAAACCCCCAAACACACAATTTATTAAAATGAATAAAGTTTAAAAACTAATATACGAGTATTTACCAGATTTTTATTCCATTGAGATGTGCATGTATGTATGTATCTATTTATGTGTTACTATTGCTATTCTTAACAAAATGTTGAGTTTGTTATTTTTATTTAATAATAAAAAAATGTTTATTAAATTTCTCTTAAGACGACTTAACTTCATTTATTTAATTTTGGATATTGCTAAGATGGGATTTGCCATTAAATTTCTAACAGTGTTTTTTGTAAAGCCTAGCATGAGTGCTGGCTACTTGGTACTGACCAATCCTCTCATTTTTTTAATATTTGTATTTGTATTGTACTTTATGACAATAACTCCCTTTTGGGGACATCGGTCAATTACGGATCGAACCCTATATATAAATATCCTTTAGAACAAACCATTTTTGACAGAATTTATCATAATACTAATATATGTATTAGAGATTTATAACTATAAACTGATTTCCTCAGGGGGGTATTAGGATCGAACTTCGAATTAAATAACAATTAAACAACCCAGTTAGACAGGCTGGGATGGCTTAATACATATATAGATTAGCAGTCGATTTAATCAGAATATATCCAGTTAAAATTTCAAAGAACATAATTATAAACAAGTCAGAATTTATAGTGTTTATAAGTGAATTTTGACCATCAAGTCATTTTCTGAAGGGGACTGATAGGAGACTCGATCATTACGAAAATCAGCAGTATCATTAAGACTTTTATAAAACTAAGTTTGGCAGATTTTTGGAGTGATAAAAGAACATTTAACATATTTATGAGCTCAAAAGCCCTATTTGGTGGTACGGTTGTATGGGGGCTATGCGAAATAATGGATCGATTTTAACCATTTTCAATAGGCTTTGTCTTTTGACCAAATTTGATGACAAATTTCATCAAATTATCTTGAAAATTGCGACCTGTAGCATGCGCAAAAGGTTTACATGGACACACAGATGGACATAGCTAAATCGACTCAGAAACTGATTCTTTATACTTTAAGGTGGGTGTAAGACCAATATTTTTAGGTGTTACAAACATCAGCACAAATGTAGGCTATAAAAATCAAAAATTTTATTAAAAAAAATTGTTTTTTAACTAAATTTAAAACTTGTTTTTTAATGAACATTTTATGTATTTTTTGGTAAAAATGTTTCATTGGATTAAAAAAATTCATATTAAGCCTTTGGAATTATGTATTTGAAATGTCACAAACAATTTAAAAAATAATATACATACAATATATTTATTCTTAAATGCGCTATTGGAGTTGTAATCGGTTTCATCAATATTGACTTCAGTTTTATATTTTACGAAACTACTGAAATCTTAAAAATTACTGTAACTTGTACAATACAATTCGAATCAAAACATTTTTTTGAATTTGTTATCTTTATAAAATGCATGCATGCGTTTTGTTTATTAACTCAATTTTATTTATTTATTGTTCCAATCATGTACTAAGTTTACAATAATTTTAATATATACAACTTAAGAAAATTTAAGAATAAACATTTTTAAATACAAATGTTTATTAATAAATTTAAAGAATATCTTCTGTTATAAATAAGAGGGCAAAAATTTTGTTTTAATAATTGCATTTTTGTTTTTATTTGGAAATGATAAACAAATCATATGTCCATCACAAAATCGTAAAGTAATTAAACATTGTTGAAAGAAAATTTTCATGTACCAAAATATTTGTACAAATATAAAAAATCACTTTATCCCAAAAAGTAAATTTTCATTCTTAATGATATCTAAATCGTCAAATGATGAAACTATTACAAATTTTATTATAAATAAGTCTTAATATTGTGTATTTAACAAATCAGTTTATACATAATTTTATAATAAAAAACCGTTAAAAGCTTAATGTATTTAAAAGTTTAATATTCCTAACACAATAGAAAAAAGCTCTCTCATTTATTTAAGTTTTTTGCCACTACTCTACACACATAAAGCTTTTTTGTCTGAATATCGTTACAACTAATAAATTCAATGATTTTGAATATTTAATCATATTCTATTTCCGCAAAAGAGCTTTTTCAAGATAACGTAATTAAAGAAGAGAACGTATTTAACTCAATAAGAAAAAACTACCACAAATGTAGAAAAAAAAATTAACAACACTGAGTAATGAATTTGAAGTTACTTAGTAAATCTTAAAAACAAATATAAATAAAAAACGAAACCACTTCATTTAGCCCATTTTGAAAATCTACAATGCTTTAAAAAAGCAATAGTTTGCTTTATTATTAATTCAAGTTGATCCCATTTAAGATATTATGTCTTGTTGGAAAAATAATCTATTAAACAAACAATTCAATAAATTCTTTGTTTAATAGCGTTCAGTTTTTGTCTAATAGATACAATTATTTTATTATTCCGATTAATTTCTTTATTTTCAATAACAAACAGACATTTATTAAAAAATAATCTTCGATACTTTATTGATAATTTTAAATTATAAATATGTTCCTGAGTTTTTTTCACTTTGTTTTTATTGATTAGATTAAATATAACTTTAGTTGGTAAAATTAACTGTAAGTAGTGTCATCACTGCAACCAAAAAGATTGAGCTTGACACAGACATCATGGCACCATCATTTCCATTTCCATCGTTGCCATCATTTCCTCCATCATCCTTTTTCTCAATTATAGTAATTCTCTCTTCAACTTCTGGGTAAACAAATTCACGTTGGGTCAAGTATTGTAATAAGGCATCAAAATCGTTTTTCTGTAAACGTATGGGCTCAGTACCATTCTCCTCTACGAAAGTGTGACCATCACCACCATCAATAAGGAACTTTTGTACAATTACATTGTAGAATTTGTCCTGCTGCAAGGGTTCATAAGCGGGTATTTTACACTCGGAGCAAAGCAAATGTGTTGATATAACACGACTTCCAATTGGTTTATTATAGTCATAGACTGTGTGTACACCTGACATTTGTAAGAATCCTCCATTGGAGTCTTTAGCCTCCATAGAAGCGGAATGTTCCAAAGCCTTCAAAATAGTTTTACCAGTAATTCTGGTCATGTACAAATCGTTGCCAAATGGAAGTACAGACAAAACATCGGTAGCAAGAATCGAACCATCAGAGCGTTTTCCAATTGAACTGCGAATACCTCCACCCTGTATAAAAGCTATGGGCGCATCTGTCCAATATGAACCACCCAAATCTTCCAATATTCTTGCGTATACCATTGAGTCAGCTACTAAATTACCAAGATTACATTCACCACTGCGACAAATTTCAGCACGTCCCTCCAAATGCACCTTTGTGTGACCTATCACATTCGACTCCAAGGCGGTAATATTTGGTCTATAAACTTCAAGTAATTGCAGGAGATCATCATCTCTGGGTATATCAGCATTTAAGAGCAAGGGTGTGCCATCGAATTCAATTAGATTGCCATTTTTATCAAACTAAAATCAGTGTAGAGTTATAAAGGACGGGTGCTAACATTACATTTGTAATCTATGGATACTTACTTGAACATGTAATTTACCCAAGTATTTGGTATAAGCATAGGCTTGCACAACAGGCACTTCTTTGCCACTGTGCTGTTTAACTACTGTGGGATAAGGACCATCAATGCGTTCGGCATCGGGTTGTTCACCATTGTATAAGAAAGTATTGGTATGACCCCCAATCACAAGATCCACTTCAGGACAATTCATGGCAATCTCTTGATCTCTTTGGTAACCGGAATGTCCCAATGCAATGATGATATTAACACCAAGATTCTTAAGGCGTGCAGCTTCTTCACTAAAAATTCATTTAATTTAACTTTTTTTAACATGATCTCAACAATGAAAACTTACTTAATGGAAACAACTTCATCCAAGAATTCAACTTCGTTTGGCACTGTTAAAAATTTAGTTTCGGGCGTTAGGTAACCGATAACACCCACTTTAGTACCACGTACATCTAATACTGTGGACTTGTAAAAGTGTTTCGCTTTAGCTAGTTCAGGCTCCTTACTGACATCCAAATTAGTAGCCAAAACGGGGAAAGTGACTTTATTAAGGAAAGGTGCCAAACCGGCAACATTTTCATCAAATTCGTGATTTCCTAGAGACTAAATTTAACATGCGAATAAATAAAATCTGTATTCACAAGAAATTTGCAGTAACTTACTATAGCATCCGGCTGTAGTTTATTTAAAAAGGCCGCTGTAATATTATCTTTGAAAACGGTAAACCAGGGAGTGCCTGTGTATGTATCACCAGCATTAAGATACAATACGGGTTTACCGCCTTCTCTAGCTTCTTGGCGAAATTTACGTACTCTGTTAATAAATTATTATTGTTGTTATTTTTGGTATATTTTTTAGTGAAAATTTACATACTCATGAGCCACTCTGGCAAAGCCTCCATAGCATTTATTGGTATTAGCTAGTTCGGGTGTACATTTACCACTGTCTACACTGGTCTGTTCAAAACGGGCATGCATATCATTATTGTGTAAAATTATAAATTCTACAACCACATCCTTGTTACCAACACCGATGGGATTACCCTTAATTTGAGCCAAACACAATAAGAGGCCACATATATGGGCCAATACAATTTGACTTTTCCACATCATATTTTATGGATGCTAAGATTGGTTATAATTGTTTAGTGGGTTGGTTTAATAAAAACCAAAATATATTTATGATATAATTGTTTTAATGTTGTAATTATCTATATGAATTTCTGTTTCCTAATGAGTGAATAAATGATTTTTTATGGGTTTTTTTTTTTTCTTTTCAAAAATATGCTTTTAAATTTTATTACTTTTTTATGGCAAATATAACGGAAGCCAACCAAACGTTTAATTTTAGCATAAAAATATTAAATTTTAAGAATATTAATTTAATGTAGTTTTTTAAGGTATTTTATATATTATAAATTTCTATGATTGCATTATTGCTAATTTCAAACACTTTTTTTATTTGTAGGCAACAGTTATTTTTGAATATTATAAATTTGGTAATGCTATTTTTAAATCCTTTTTTGTTGCATTTACCGGC